CGCCCAAACGCGGTTGAGATATCGCCCTATACTAGTGCGAGGGATTATGCTGAAGTTCACGCACGGTTGAGAAGTAGATACGGAAGCACGCGCGCAACATGGCCCCAGCTCGAGTCGAACGGGTATGCTCTGCGATATCCATCAGTTTACTGACTTACGGGATACAGATGCGGACCGTCCGCAATGGAGTCTTGTACCTTTTAGCCTGGAGCAAGCCTGGAGAGTATGAACAGCGATTGCCAAAATTATGCTCGAGGCGCCCTCTGAGAACATTTCAAACGGTCAAACTCGCCCGCAGGGAAGATAATATAGCCAGTATTCCACCGACAGACAATATGAATTGAGCAGGTCCGCGCCAGGTAGTACAAGAGCCTTGCTTGATGACGAGCAGGATAGTGGAAAACTTTTGAGTCCGCTTGGCTCTTGATCAAGACCGACTCGGAGCCACTGTTGGAAGCGTCGGGAAATTGACGAAGACACCGCATCCGGTGAGGAAAAGGTCGAATCTGCTTCCCAAAAAGCAAGGCGGAAGGAGCCTTGGAAGGAGCAAAGCTGAAGGACATGAGCGTCGGAAGCAAAGGGCATCGGAACAGTCCGGGTCACGGTACCTCCACGTGCCCATCACGTCACTGTCACCTTTCCTTCCACCTCACCACCACCACCTCAAAACCGCGCCGCGCCGTTCTACAGACGCATCCACACCATGTCGGGCATCTCATCATTTCTTCTCGTCCATCTTACCCACCGTACACGCCGACTCGCCCGAGGACAAGCCGGAGGATAACCAGGAATTACGACTCGCACCGGAAACTTGAAAGTGTGACGTCACACGTGACTTGTAACGCCAGACCTCCCAAAGCGGATCAATTTCGCCGTACTCAAAAGCCTGCCTGCCGGAGTGGTTGAGCCTCCTGCGTTTGATGTTTTCTTGGGGTCCCACGATCGATCCCGCCGAAACAAATCTTTTAGCTCCACGCAGTGGGCCCCGCGGCGAGCGCAAGCACCACGCAGTGGGCCCCGCGGCGAGCGCAAGCACCACGCAGTGGGCCCAGCGGCGAGCGCGAGCCCCGCGCTAGCGGTCGGGGTCTGGGGTGGAAAACCCCAGTCGTCCGGGCCGGCGCCCGCAACGAACACCTCAATTTTAGAAATTAAATACATTGAAAAGGCGAAAAGGAAAAAAGAAAAAAGGCCTCGCGCCAGCGGAAAATGCCAGCGGCAGCGAAAAGGCAGCGCCAGCGAAAACGGCCCCGCGCCAGCGGAAGGGGCAGCGCCAGCGAAGAAGAGGGGGTCTGGGGGAAGCATTCCCCCAGTCCAACCAGAAAGCGTGACATGTGACGTCACACTTTCCGGTGCGGGTCGCCCCTCCTGATAACCATGCGACGGAGATGGCCAACTTGCCAAGGTCGAGGAGGGGGAGGGAGCAGAGCCGAAGAGGACGTGGTTGTGAGTTCTTCCGTCGTTGCGGGGGCGTCTGCGCTCGTCTGCTGTCCTTCTTGATTCCTACTGGCTATCACCGGTTCCGGCATCGGCTCAGGTTGTTTGAATTATATGCGAGTGCCTCCGCTTCCGCCGGTCTGCCACACACTACGCCCGGGATCCATCGCACCATTCCCATCCCTGATCATCCAGTTTTCGCGCAATGGAGCCTCATTTCCAACTTCACGCGTCCACGTCAACACTTCCCCTACGCTGTCCTTTCTATCATGCGTAGCGCTCCGCAAATTTGTTCCTCTGTCGCTTCCAGCCTGTAGTGATGTTCAGGGCCCGGCTCGGCCTGAAAGCCGCGGCCCGGGCCCGGCTTCAGCGGGCTTGGGCTTGAGAATTTCAAAGCCCAAGCCCAAGCCCGCAACCAGGGCTTCAAAGCCGTAGGCCCGGGCCCGAGCCGGGGCTTTTGTGTGATAGCCGAGGGATGTTGAATTTTGCATTGAAATTTTGCGAAGTTCAATTGAGCTTAGGACACTGTTACTTTTGCATGCTGGTGTATGAAAAAGAGCAAATAGCAGAGACAGAGGACTCAGACGCGTACAGTCGTTGTCCATCAGATTTGATCCAGAACGATGCCGAGTTCCGGCACTGCCAGAGGCGTTGAGAATGGAGCCAATTGTGAGCATGTATAATCAGGTATGAAGTCCCGAACTCCCTCTGCATACTCACAAGCGACGGCGAAATCGACTTCGAAGACTTGTTGAAAGCAACCAAGTTCATGCCCAGGCCGCGGCTTTGGGGCCCGGCTCGGGCTTCGAAATCCTGAAGCCCAAGCCCTGGGCCGGCTCAAGCCCTGTGCAGGGCCCGGCCCGGCTTCCAAAAGCCGCGGCTCGGCTTTGCCGGCTTAGGGCTTGAAGCCGGGCCCTGAACATCACTACTTCCAGGCTTCACTCCGGTACCTTTCTCCCGTCGTCTCATTTTGGATCCGCTGCTCGGCCCTCTGCCCTTGTCGAGTCCTTCTCACTTCAACTCGACCGCCGAGCTCGTTCCGCATTCAATCTCGGCGAGACTCCGCACCTCATAACTCCGGCAGCCTGGGGGCCGAATCTCTCCAGTTTCTGGCGGGGAAGTCGACATATAAATTCTTGGTCCCGATTCTGTGGCTTCTTCCCCCTTTGTATTGCTACTCCGTCTCGCTGCACTCCCCATTGTCAATAGGAAGTCTCTTAAGCTTGTTATGACCGCGACTCGTGCAATACAGTGTTTTACCGCAAATCTCTTCGCCTGATTTGCTCAACGATGCTTGGCAAATCCCGTCGCTTTGGTCTTTTTTCTCTCTCTCTCTCGTTGACCGGGATTCCAGACTCCACGCGTTCTTCCTTGTGTGGAAATCACCAAATTTGTTCGATCTCATTTACGCTGGGAGGCACACATCGGGATTTACACAACTTGCGCGTGAGCTCGCGTGGGCTCTCGTACGCGCTCGTACGCGAGCAAACGAGACAAAAAAGACCGCGAGACCGCGCGATCACGAGCTATGTCCGTGATGTCCACGCGAGCAACATTTATTTCCTTCCCACAAGGCATGCAAGCCCAGGGCACCGTGCAGAGCCATAAACCCCATACTGGAAAGTTGTTTGGGAATAAAAAGAGTGTTCTCGAGGCTCACCAGGTCGAGGAATGAGAGAAACAAGAATCAAAATTAGGCGGAGACGAGATTCACGCGACATCACAAGATCAAAAGAACGCGAGCAGATTGTCATATTGCTGATGCCACCCAAGAGTCGGATATGGTGCATGGAGCACTGCCGGTCTGATTGGGGATGTCGGTTAGTTACACCACCGCTGGCAGATCGGGGTTCGATTCCACGAGTCCGAATGCTTGAACCCATGTCCTATCTTTTGGCTGGTTTGCTTCTCCTCACGTTGAATTTCTGAAGTCCGTGGCTGTCTGTGTTTCCCACTCAGACGGCTCGACATGAACCCCTCAATCTTTCCATCTGAAATGCGCGCACACCGTATTGGGTCGATTTGGCTCTGGCAGCTTGAACGTTCGTCTAACCTCACAGAATAACCGGACGTGGTGCGTAGCCGGACGCAATGTACTTGCTTCACGGGGATTCGCTGGCGCGACGGGGTTCGATTCCCCGCGTCTGAATGTCTTGACGTTCTTTTTGGGGCTTTCCCGGGTAAGCTAACTATATGTACCTCAGTCGGTTCTGTTACAGTTTTCGCAGCACCTGTGCTGCGCTCAGATGTGCAAATTTCAGCGGGCTCCTCGCATTAACACGACTCTCGGTGGTGCGCATTTTATCCTTCTTCCTCAGCTCATCATGAGTCGGCTTTGAACCAGTATCAGTGTCCGAGATGCACACGAAAAATTCTACGTTCATTGATTCAACGAGGTTGGCCTGCCGGATACTATAAAGTAGTCGGACGTGGTGCATGAGCACGGCTAGTGCGCTTGGCAATAGGGTGCGCAACGAATTTACTGGCAGGTCGGGTTCGATTCCCCGCCTCCGATTGGCAACGCATCGTCTGGATCCTTTTAGTGCGTTTTTCAACATCCAAGAACGTTGAAGAGGCCGACTTACATTAGCCGGTCGTGGTGGATGGCGCATAGCCAGACCAATGGGAACCGCCGGCACGACTAGGTTAGATTCCTCGCTGAATTTTACTTCGTTGTTTTCGCCCTCGACTCTACATTGTGGTTGGGTTTTTCTGGTCCCTCACTGCGTTCCTGACGATAAATCTAGCGGGCAACTCCCCCGACAAGGAGTAATGCAGAAAATGACTGTGATCACCTCATGATATCCCAGGCCGACCGAATGCATATCCATCCTTCACGGCCACAGTGTGAAAATGCAAATGTCCGGGCCCTCTGTGCGAAGTGAACGAGTGGAGAGCCTCTGAATGGTATGTACAGCTGAAGATATCGAGGTTGTAGGTAGCAAGACAAAATGGCTAGATAGACGAGTGCTTATGACCCCAGCCCGAGTCGAACGGGCCTTCTCTGCGAAAGTCTTTTTGAAGCCCTCACATGGGATGCAGCGGCTGACCGTCAGCCATGGGGTCTTGTAACTGGTACAATTGGAGCCAATCGGTGAGGGAGCTGAATGCGGAGGTCGCCAGAACGTATACCTTGTCGTTGGAGCGGAGATTCACTCCACAATGGTAGCTTCGGAGCCCCAAAATGCGTCGAGTTGCGCATGGTTCAAATGTGGGGCTGCATGACCAACGAAAAAAACAGCAACCCGAGATATTGATAATTTCCCCAGCCCGAGTCGAACGGGGTGATCTGCGGTAGTTCTCAAACCAACGAAACCCATGGAATGCAGATGCGGACCGTCCGCTGTGGAGTCGCGTATCTGAGGACTAGGGTGTAGGCAACGTAGACGAGAAAATTGTTGAGCGAGCAGTAGCCTACCTTTTGAAAGATCCCGAGCGCATCGCGATCCATGGGAATCTGAGTCGATGGTAGAACGCGAGGCGGGATGCCATTGAACTACTCACATCGTGATAAAGTTGCACCCAAGAAGAAAAAAACAAAAAATAATTGGAATTTACGCGGCGGATGGCTCCAGCCCGATTTGAACGGGCGTAGTCTGCGATGCACGACCTCGAATCCTACGCAGGGCAGATGCGGTGCGGACCATCCGCCATGAAACCTCTTACCTGCCAGACTTGGGTTTGATGCTACGTGAGCGAGTCGAGGAGTTATCGACAGAGATCATGGTGGGTGGTCGAACGTGTCTCTAGGGTTGATAACACATGCAACTCTCAGGTAAAAGTATCCGAGGCTGCAAAAGACAAAAAGAGGTCTTCCGATGAACAACATGTGAAATAACCCCACCACGAATCGAACGGGCGTGATCTGCGACGTCAACCAGTGTTGACGGGGAAATATCGCAGAAAATGAGTACAGTTGCGGACCGTCCGCCTTGAAGCTTGAAGTCTTCCACTTGGCTTGGCGCCAACTGATCAAGTCAAGGACACATGGATTGTGAGATGTACCTGAGCAAATATCATGATTTAGCCAAAGAATCAAAAAAAACACCGCTGTCTTTACTGTATGGCTCCAGCCCGAGTCGAACGGGCGTGATCTGCGATATTTCCTTGCCAACCAACAAATGGGCTACAGATGCGGACCGTCCGCTTCGAAGTCTTGCAGTAAGGCATAGCACGAGTGCGGGTCACCCGCGGGTCATCGCGAGTTTACCCGTGGGAATACTCGTGGGAAACTCGACCCGCGGGTTCGAGTACTCATGGCCACGGGTTTTCGCGGATCCGAGTCAAGATTTTCGAGAAACAGTTTTGACCCGTGAGTTTCAAAGTTGTTTGAAACTTCAATTCCCAGCTAAATAACAGCAAAAGAATAAAGTGACCCGCGAGTTGATCCGTGGGAAAGCCTGACCCGCGAGTCAAGTACTCGTGAACACGGGTTTCCCACGGATCCGAGTAGTGGTCAAAATACTGCGGGTACTCGCGACACGGATCCGGGTCTACTCGCGAGTTAACTCGTGACGAGCCCTATCTTGCAGTCGATACACCTCGCCTGGCGCTATGGGAGCAAGTTGAGGAAGATTGGATTGCGAGATGTGCTTGGGCAAGTATAGTATAAAGGTTTAGACCAGAGATGTTGCAGATAGAGATTGGCCATGGAATCTTATTTCGAGAGATGGCACAATCGCAATAAAAATCGTGCAACCATTCGTGACGAGGGCCCCAGCCCGAGTCGAACGGGCGTGTCCGCGAGATTCATGGCATCGCGCTATTGATTGCAGACGCGGACCGTCCGCTATGAAGCCTTTTACCTGACAGATTTGGTTCCCTGCTACGTTACAGCTCTTTGCGGAACTTAGGGCGCGGGCTGTTTTTATTTTTTTTTCTGCGTTTTGGGTAGAACAGCTGCCCTGGGTTCAGTTTCCGTCCGATTTCTTCGGCGTAACGCTCGTTGGAATCGCGCTGCAAATCCGCAGCTGCCCATATTCACGACTTTGTATTTTGATGCCATCATAAAATTTTCACCCAAAAAGTCCCGATCCAAGCAGGACAGCTGTAGCACGGTCAAACCTATTCCTATGGACTTAGGTTTTTGTGAGTATGGACTTTGATATGTTCTCTAGTTGATGGGCTCATACGATTTGTGGTTTCCCCCCTCAATTCAATCTAGCGTGACAGTTGCTGAGTACAACATTTCACCTCTGAATAGATGGCACTGTGAAGAGAAACCTGATCACGTGTGAGTGTATAAATATGACAGTTGACTTGGTAACATAATGACGTAAGTGCTACAAAAATTCTAGGTCCTTCGGACTCATATTGGCAAGGCTATCAGTGTCCTGCCGGACTACTGTGTTTTTTGGGTCAAATTTCAATGATGGCATCAAAATACCAAGTCATGGATATGAGCAACTGCGGATTCGCAGCGCGATTCCAACGCGCGTTACGCCGAAGGAATCAGACCGAAACTGAACCCAGGGCAGGTGTTCTGCCCAAGACAGAAGAAAACAGAAAAAAACGGCCCGCGCCCTAAGTTCCGCAAAGAGCTGTAAAGAGTTATCCGCAGAGATTATGATTGCGCGGTGACGTGGATTTTCTAGGGAAGAAGCAGCGGCGGTAAACCAGCAGGATTGCAAGGAGGTACGTACGGCCCGGGTTGCCAGCGGACATGGACGACAGAAAAAGTTCCACCGTCGCCGTCGCGTATGGCTCCAGCTCGAGTCGAACGGGCGATGTCTGCGATATGCTTGTACGAGTGAGAAATACGGCGTGCATGCGGACCTTCCGCAATAGAGCCCTTTCCGGACAAACTCGATTCGCTGCTACGTGAGCGGGTTACTACTTGGAGTATATGCAAGAGTACTGTACTATTTCGACCGTTTGTTCAGTGACGCGCGACAGAGCCTCGTGAAATGAATGATTTTGGCCCCAGTGACGGTGACGGCCAGGTTTTGAGACCCAAAACGGCCTAGAAACGTCGAAAATTTCGGTCCGGCGATCACCGGACGTCCATATATGGTAATTTCACCTGATTGCTGAGGAATGAAGACCTCACCCAGTGAACTTCGGTGGTGACGGGTGACATGCAGTGAATAAACGGTCGAAATAGTACAGTACAGTAGAGCGTATTCGGAGCCTCCAAAACCGCACTTTTCTCCAAAAATCTGATGGCTGATCTCAGAAGTGTTGTAACTGCCAAACTGGGAACGGCAAGCCCGGCAAACAATCCGGCACTCACCAAGAAAATGCCCAGGGAACACATTTTGTCCCATTCTTTCGAGGAAACGGAGCTCAAGTTCAATGCATACCACCCTGGTATTCAACAACGATATGGGTAGCACGCACTTGCGATGATTCAGGTTGGGTATCTCGACAAGCGGTGCAATCTAGTGCTGCCGCAAGCTGAAGCTAGCTCGAGCCAAGTTCCGGCCTGCCTCGGACGCCGTCCAAATCCGGAAGCTCGAGCTGATGGGAAATCGGCTCGGCTCGAGCTGCCTCGAGGCAGCACTCTACCGCCGCCTTCCCAGGACAGCGTGACGGTGTAACCCGTCAGTGACTGTCGCGTCGCGCCACGTCTGTCTCTTCCTCACCGTCGTCCCGACGTGCTCTCTCCCCGCCCGTCTGTCCCGCTCTTTGCCCTCTGCCCTCGGCTCACTGCACCCGCCCCAATTACAGCATCAATGACGCACTCAAATTGGAGTTGGAGCCGCGACCAGGGGAGCAAGTTAGCAACGCTGGGGTCGCAGGTGCGCTCAGTATCTGAAAACTATCTCCGTAAATTGTATAAATAGGGCTCCCAATTCATGCCTTCCACATAACACCCCGGTGTGAGCCCCGCCCATGTCTTCTGTTTGCCATTGCGGCAATCCGCACGCTTGCACCTGCTTTACACAAACTCCGCGCCGCCCCGCGTTCTACTACAACGATTACACGTCCCCCCCTCCCCAGACTGCCTGGCCGAACCCGTACTATGCGCCGCTGCCGCCTCAGGCCTTCCATGGCAACCCACCCCTCCACGCAGACTTGATGTTCCATAACAGCTTCCCGACGTCGTTTAATACCGCCGCTCCTGGTTCAGCGCCATCTGTTACGTCGCGCACACCCCTCGGAGACACCACGAACGCGGTCGCACCCCCTGGGCCTGCCGCTACTGGGACGCAAGGAAGAAACAAGCGGAAATCGGGGCCCGGAGCCGGAAACACCCGTTTACGCGCACGCAGACGTGTAGAACCCGCAACTGCCGTGTCTGATACCGTCTTCGGTGTCGGCCCTGCCACCCCAGCCAACGCCGCAGCCGCCGCCGCCGCCTCTGAGTCAGTCTCTCATCCTTCGCAGGTGAACGTCAACCTCGGTTCGGTTCTCGATAAGGCCACGGCTCCGGGCGATGTAGCAACGGATGTGTGGTATTTTACGCGGGGCGTCCACACCAGGGACGCGCCGACCTCACCACTGGCAGAATTGGCGATGTCGCAAGAGCGGCCAAGCAAGGAGAAATTCCCGTTTTTGGCCTGCCGACTCTGCTCGTGAGTCGTTCCTTTGCCTCCATAATATCGCTCTCAATCTATGCATCAACCAGGCTCGAGGACTGGACTACCTACAAGAATTCCGAGGGTAACACAAGAGCTATTCGAAATCATCTCAAGACGGAACACGGCAAGCATTGGAGGGATGTAGTCCTTCTCAATCACCTCAAAGGTTGGGAGAACCTCGGAGCGGCTCGGCGCGTCCCTGGCGAGCGCGAAGAGTTCTCTCTCCCCGGCTTTTACGAGAGGCTCGTTAAATGGATTGCCGTTGACGACCAGGTACGTTTACTTCCCATTGTTCTGATCTCAACTCATATCTTGTAGTCTCTCGATGTCGTTGACTGCCCCGAACTTCGCGACCTACTCCTTTTCATTGGCACGCAACTCGACGAGAACAACATCCCCCATCGCACCAAGTTGTCGAAATTGATCTCCGCGCGGTTCCAGGTCGAATACCAGAAGATGATTCACGAAATGCAGGTCTGTGTTGTTTAATTCGGCTCTATTCACAGGCTTATACTGCCATAGAACTCTTTGGGTCGGATCTCGTTCACCGAGGATATCTGGACTCGAGTGAACTTAGACTCCCACCTCGCGATTACCGGGCATTATGTTATCCTCGGTCCGGACGGTCATCTGGTGCTCAAGACGAGACTGATCGCTTTTCGTCGCATGGAGGGGAGTCATACAGGCGAGAACATCGGCAAGGTTTTCGTCCAGGTCGTGAAAGAGATCGGCTGCTTGCACAAGGTAAGCCGTACGATCACTTGATTCTTTCGCCATTGATCTCGTCTGCACCAGGCCGGTATGATCACTTGCGACAACGCTGGCAACAACAACACTGGCATGACCGAGATTTGCCGCGAATTGACGGAAATTGGCATTCCTTTTGACGTCGAAGGCAATCGGATCCGGTGAGTAATTACATCGAAGTACATGTATTTTTCACTCAGAGCTTGAAAGCTGCTTCCCGCACGTCGTCAATATCGCGGTCAAGACTGGCCTAAAGGAATTGTCCGAACTTCCGACTTACGCCCCCGATATTGTCCTGGACAACAACGGCAACATGATTCCTCAATCGCTCAGGGACAACGTTGCGTACTGGCGGGCTCTGGAGTGCGATCCAGTCGCCGAAGCGCGCAC